CCAAATGATCAAATGTCTTTTTCAGGAAAGCTGTACCCAATGATTCTGTTGGCTATTTATGTGGCAAATGTAGACTCTCTAGAGTTGAGCTCAATTCCCAGTCACATCATGGGCATGTCTTTGTTTTCTTGGCAACAGAATGGAAGAAAGTTCGCCATAGTCTTGTTTTTTTTTAAAGAACAACACTTTCCAATCCAGTTTATAGCTTTGAGATTTTCTCCCATCTTAAGTAATTGCTTGCATCAAACGTTGGAAATAGTTGATAGTATTGCAAACCTGGATATATTTTTTCCTTATCTCTCCTTTCCTTCTCAGTTTTCTTAAGTTAAGGACAACTTAAATTTCTGAAAGTTGCTGAAATCTCATATTGAACACCAAATTCAGATTCCCAGGACATCTAAGATTTTTTTTTCTGTTCTGCTTGAGCTGGTGTCATATGTCCAACAATTTGGAATAAGAGAATAACAAGAGTTGGAAGGGATGTTGGAGGTCTTCTAGGCCAATTCCCTGCTCAAGCAGAAGACCCTATACCAGGGCTCTTCAAACTTGGCCCTTTTATGACTTGTGGACTTCAACTCCCAGAATTCCTCAGCCAGGCAGGCTGGCTGAGAAATTCCGGAGTTGAAGTCCACAAGTCATAAAAGGACCAAGTTTGAAGACCCCTACTCTATACCATCTAGGTAGCATGGCTGAATTGTTAAAGAAGCCATTTCATTAAAAACAAAAGTTAAGTTTTTTTTCTAATTTGGGTGCATTCTCAGTTGTCATGATTTAGTTACAAAGATGCCTTCATTTTAAAACAAGAACTCACTTATTTATTAGTCTGTGCGTCCTAATTGGATTACAAGAATCATTTGACAATTCTGTGAGCAGAAGGGTAGAGCATTTTCAGACCAAATATAAAACATTAGGCTAAGTGATGTTTTGGGCATGAGGTAGTGAGCCAAATAGATTCCTAAAATAAATTCTAAAAAGTGGCATTCCAAACACTTAGTGTCTGGGTACATTGGAAATACATGAATTACATGCAACAAAGAAAGTTAATTGCACGGTTACATTTTGATTTGATTCTACTGTTGCAACACAAATCAGTGGGTATACGCTTGGATTCCAGGATTTTAATCTTTGGTGATGTAATGTAATAATAGACAAGCTACAATCAGCCTACATTAAATAGGCTTTAAAGTTTAATGTAAAGAATAAAAAGGAAAAGCAGATGTGTGTGGACCACGCAAAAAAGAATCCACAGGAGGGCAGTTCTTTTATTAAGTGAACAAATTGTTATTTAACAGTAAACTTTGAGATTCCTAAGAAGTCTTCATTAAGGGATATATAAACCCCGGAAAGAAGAAAAAGAAGAAAAATACATTTTGTTTTAGTTGTGCCTGTTCCAGTGTTTGTAGCTTCAGTTCTATCTCTCTGTAATGGTAGTTGGAATAAATTTGGTGACAGGTGTATTTGGTCTAAAACAGGGATCTTCAAACTTGGCCCTTTTACGACTTGTGGACTTCAGCTCCCAGAATTCCTCAGCCAGGCATGCTGGCTGAGGAATTCTGGGAGTTAAAGTACACAAGTCATAAAAGGGCCAAGTTTAAAGACCCCTGGTCTAAAAGGATGTAGTTAATGCTGATAATAGCAAAATGTCAAGCTTGCTGCCCATGTAAAATATGCTTCCACTGATGCTTCTTTAATTTTACATTCCTCAAGCTTAAAACTGGGCTGGTTGTGCAAAAAGTTGCATAATACTTACAATTCTGTCCCCGATAAATTACAACAGAGATCTCCCTTCTCTTATATATTTGTGGTGAACAATGAACAGAATTCTTTTCTTAGGAACTCAGGAAACTGTAGGGCCTCTTGAATTTAACTTGAAATAGCTAGAGGTGTGTACCATCCCTAGCGTTCTCTTGCCAAAACACAATCTAGGACAGATTTATTTCAGATTGATCTGTCGTGAATGACATCATTATTAAAGGCATGGGTCTAGTTAGCTTAAACCTTATCTGTCTTTCACACCAGCAGATGGCCTCTAGTCCTTTCTGGGAGGGGTGCCAGGTGCTGCATTTGGGGTACAGTGCTATGATAGCACAATCTTTTTGCTGATGGCAGGTAATCCTGCTAAAATGCAGTTCCGCTAGTGCAGTGTCTCTCAACCTGGACAATTTTAAGGCATGTGGACTTCAACTCCCAGAATTCCACATGCCTTAAAATTGTCCAGGTTGAGAAACACTGCGTTAGTGCATCTTGATCTCTGCATGCATTGTAATGAAAATCATTTTGCTAATGCTGTCAAAGCAACTACTTAGCCCAGTGTTTCTCAGCTGTGGCCATCTTCAGATGGGTGGACTTCAGTTTCCAGAATTCCCCAACCACCAAGGGAATTTATATTAGATTAATATAAATAGGATTGAAGGGAAGCAAACTTCAAATTAGTTGAGCTTCCCTACTGCTCCCTCCAAATTCTTGTAGCATGGCCCAGATTTAGGACAGATACTCAGACTCCTCGTCCATTTTTTAATATTATTAATTATTGCAAGTTACAGCTTCAGTCTCTTGAGAACTACCAGTATCTTATCCTCTTGCTGGAGTACATTTTAGAAATCTCTTCCTTATATTGAAGGTAGAGGCTTCTCTCTTGAGAGTGTTCTCAATATCGTCTCCACCAAGTTTCCGTTTTCAACCCATTTTCATTTTTAAAGGAGTTACATAACTCTTGATTGTAGTTCTGCTGTTATTGATTTGCTGTTTGCTGTGTCATGGGCCTAAAAGTGCTAGAAGAGAGGATCTGCTTAAACTAAGTGGGTCTGTATTTGGTTTGATAGTCTGATGGCAAACTACTTAAGCATCTGGAATCTATGGGAGAAAGAACTACGAAGCTAATGCTTAAATAAAAACATGGGACCTTTTAAAAGCACATTGTTGGCTGGGGATGTTAGACTGAACAACACAGCATCAAATGTCTAAAACATGATATTGCTTGTAGAAAGTTGGTAGGAGAATAAAGTTTTTTCATTCAGATGTAGATTTTTATTGTTTGAAAAACTGGTTAGTAGGTTTTACCTATGTCTCTAGCCCAAGGGTAGGCAACCTTGGCGCTTTTATGACTCGTGGACTTCAACTCCCAGAATTCCTGAGCCAGCCATGCTGGCTCAGGAATTCTGGGAGTTGAAGTCCACGAGTCATAAAAGCGCCAAGGTTGCCTACCCCTGGGCTAGCCAAACAGTTAAGGAGAGGGATTCAACATTCTTTGGAAGGTGCAACATCAGGACCAATTTTGTTCCTCTGGATCATGATCATGGATAGAAGAAAATTTAAAAAATGCTGATAAATGTCAGCTGAAACCATTAGATTTATTTAAAAAATTAAGAAAGATTTGAACATTAATGTGCTTTGTCAAGATTAAAATGGAATCTAGAATTACTGTGTTTTAGAGAACTACTGCATTAATAGCAAATAGCATTAATGGGGCTTTCTTCATTTCTAGCAGTTGGACTACACAGAATGCTACCTTTTATTACTTTTACCTGCTTAATAGTATCTACTGTATGAAGGATATGCTGTTTGGTTCCCTCCAGATATTTTGAGTCATCCTATACTCTGACAAAGCTTGTCATCTGTCTTATCACTTGAGATTGATGTGAGTTGAAATCCAAAATGCTTGTGAGGAATGAAGTATAAATCATTTAGGGGGAACTACTTCTCATTATGTAATTTATAATTCCAGATCTCTCCATGAAACAGGATACCTCTACACATGAGTGTAGGAGATATTTTCACACTTGTCCATTGCCCAGGAAACACCTGTCCCTTACATATTTGTTATGGGAAAGGTTAGATTAACAAGAATTAAGACATGGTGATGTTGGTACCTGGAAAATTAGTCCCAACTTATGACCATTCAAAGTTATGGCAGACTTTAAAAAGTTATTTCCAACCTGTTCTTGGAGTTATAAATGCTCCCTCCCCATGATCTCATTTCAGGTGCTTGGCTACCAGTTCACATTTATGATGGATTGCAGCATCCTGCAATCACATGACTGTGATTTGCATTAGTTTTGCTGATTTCCTGTGTTTTTTGCTGGTTTCCAGCAAAAAATATCCATTTGGAAGAATGGATTTGCTTAACAACTATGTGATTCACTTTAAAATTGTGGCGACTTGTTTCATGACTACTGTATAAAGTAGGGGTCTTCAAACTTGGCCCTTTTATGACTTGTGGACTTTAGCTCCCAGAATTCCTCAGCCAGGCATGCAGGCTGAGGAATTCTGGGAGCTGAAGTCCAAAGTCATAAAAGGGCCATGTTTGAAGACCCCTGGTATAAAGGTTGTAAAATTGAGTTTGGTCACCGGTATGGTTACTGGTATGAACCCCTCGTCTGGCTTTACTCTGAAATGTCTGTAAAATTTTTTCAAATAGATCATTGTGTTCAATTTTGTCTTCTGATTGAGGATAAACCAGTGGTCATGTGTGTTTTTTGCCTACTTCTTGTTTTCTGGACTCAGTTTAAGGTGGTGTTGATAGTGAAATCTGAACTTCTTAGAACTAATAAAGAGATGCCTTCTTTTGTTTACGTTAAGCTGAGAACCTGTCTATTTTGTCATCCCTCTATCACAGGGGTGTCAAACTGCTGGCCCACGGGCCAGATGCCGCACCTACCCCAGCTCCGGCAAGGGGAAAAAAGTCACGATACATCACGACACGTCACGTGATGCGGCGAGTTTGACACCCCTGCTCTATCAGGCTAGATCTACAAACAGAATAATTTTGAGCTCCAGAACTGAAAGCAAGGTGGTCTTGTTTGTATGTTGTGTTTATTTTCCTAGGGTGGGGCATAAGTGTTTAATTGATGGGAGATTTGTAATTAATATTACCTGCTCTTAAGCATTTTTGCTGGACCATTCCATACTTCAGTATTTTTAAAAGATTAAGCCATCTTATGTTCAGAAACAAAATTACACAAGGTCTGAATCTTTTGTGTTTCTCTCTGCCTCCGATATAGATTGATAAATATCTATATGCCATGCGGCTGTCGGATGAAACTTTGCTGGATATTATGGGTCGCTTCAGGAATGAAATGAAGAATGGCCTCTCTAGGGATTTTAACGCAACAGCCAGTGTAAAGATGCTGCCTACCTTTGTAAGGTCTATTCCTGATGGCTCAGGTAAGGGTTATCACTCTTGTGATTTGCTACTAAAATTGTTAATGAAGATGGTTTCTTAAAACAAATCCAGTATTGTTCCTTCCAATATGGTGAGATCTGGATGATTCCCCCCTGGGTCATAGTGATCCTAAAGCCACATAAAGCTGTAAGAAAAAAAATATGTAATATTAGTAGCACCATAAAAAAATTCTCCAGCCCAATAGAGCATGCCATTTACCAAAACATAAGTATATAGGTCAGAGGTCTTGAAACTTGGCAACTTTAAGATTTATGGACTTCAACTTCCAGAATTCCTCAGCCAGCTTAATTCTGGAAGTTGAAGTCCACAGGTCTTAAAATTGCCAAAGTTGAGGACCCCTGCTGTAGAACATAAAAAGACTCCATACTTTGCAGTATATATATTCCAGACAGGAACAGTTTAATTAGAGTCTGGGCAAGAGGAAAATTGCTAGAGCAAGTCTCAACAAGAATGTAGTTTATCATGACCAGATTTGTGCTCCGTTGAAATGGCTAATTAGGTGACACAGAAACTCTTCATTCTCCTATAGCTCTCCCAGCTATCACAGATTGGGCATTGTTGCAAAAGAGAGTGTGTGTGTGTGTGCGCGCGCATGTGTGTATGTACGTATGTACTGTATGTCTTCTAAAAATTAAATAGAAAAAGTAAAAAATGCTCCAAACCTCATAAGATCTTTCAAATTTAGATATCTCCTGAGAATGTGGCCACTCAGTATATATTGCATACAGGGTGTTTCCCAAAGTCGGACCCTATAGGCCAATTACAATAGGTTTTATTAATTTTATTACTTCATATCTTTTCAGAGAAAATGTCACTGTACTTACAGGAATGTTCAACAGTCATGTGTCAAGCAAATAAACGTTTAAAAGAAAATGGCAACCAATTTGAACATTTAACATAATTTATATAATACATTTTCCAGGCAGTCTAGCTTTTGGTACACTCTGAATACAATATTGCCCTTCAAGCACATTGAGTTTATGATCCTGTAATCAGATGGCAACATGTATAATATCAAAGGGGGAAAATGACATTGCCATAGGTGTATACTATAGGCCACCCAACCAAACAGAGGAAATAGATGAACTTTTTGCTAGTCAGTTAACTAAGGTATATAGGAAGCACATCACAATAGTAATGGGGGACTTTAATTACCCTGACATCAACTGTGAGACAAACTGCACCAAGTGGAAGATCAAACAGATTCCTGATAAATCTAGCAGACAACTTTATCTCCCAAAAAGTAGAGAAGGTAACTAGGGGATTAGCTATATTGGATCTAATCTTCACTAACAGGGATGAAATGATAGAAGATGTTGAAGCCACAGGAACCTTGGGGGGGAAGTGATCATGCAATATTGGAATTCAACATTATGGAGGCACAACCAATAGAACACAGTCAAACTAGAGTCTTGGACTTCAAGAGAGCTAATTTCAATAAACTTAGAGAGGGCTTGGGAAGGATTCTATGAATGAGAATCCTCAAGGGGAAAACAACTCAAGAAGCTTGGGAAATTTTGAAAAGTGAGATAATAAAAGCCCAGTCTAGCATAATACCAACAAAGAAGAAAAATAACAGTTCTCAAAAGAAACCAGCATGGCTGCATAAAGAACTCTCTGATGAATTGAAAGACAAAAAGGACAAGTATAACAAGTGGGAAGGGGCACATAACTAAAGCAGATTATCAGCAAATAGCCCGAGCCTCCAAAGATGAAGTGAGGAAAGCTAAGGTTCAAAATGAACTAAGGCTTGCGACAAAAGTCAAAAATAACAAAAAAGCTTCTTTCAACATGTAAAAAACAAGAAAAAAGTGAAGGAAATGATTGGCCCATTCGTGGGAGACAGTGGCAAGAAGGTGACAAGCAACAGGGAGAAAGCAGAACTATTTAACTTGTTTTTTGCATCTGTCTTTACACAAAGGGAAAAAACAGCCCAGCCTATCAAAAACAGTACCGTAAAAATCATATTAGAAACACAAGTTAAGATAGGCAAGAAAATGGTAAGTGAGCACCTGTCCGGCCTAGATGAGTACAAATCACCAAGACCAGATGGATTACACCCCAAGGTTCTCAAGGAACTGGCAGATGTGATCTCAGAATCACTAAACTATATCTTTCAAAGATCCTGGAGCACTGGGGAACTACCAGAGGACTGGAAAAGAGCTGATGTAGTTCCCATCTTGAAAAAAGGAAAATAAAATGGATCCAGGAAATTACAGACCTATCAGCCTGACCTCAATACTTGGGAAGATTCTGGAAAAGATAATCAAACAACGAATCAGCGAATACCTAGAGGCAAACAAAGTCATTGCCAAAAGCTAACATGGGTTTGTCAAAAACAGATCATGCCAGACAAATCTTATCACATTCTTTGACCAAGTGACAAAATTAGTGGACCAGAGGAATGCTGTGGATATAATTTACTTGGACTTCAGTAAGGCATTTGATAAAGTAGATCACAACCTACTACTCGATAAGATAGAAAAATGTGGGTTAGACAGCATCACCACCAGATGGATCCGTAGCTGGCTGACCGGCCGTACTCAGCGTGTGGACCTCAATGGAACTGCATCTACATGGAGGGAAGTGGGTAGTGGGGTGCCCCAGGGCTCTGAACTGAGCCCAGTGCTCCTCAACATATTCATCAACGATTTGGATGAGGGGATAGATGAGGAACTCATAAAATTTGCAGACGACAAGCTGGCAGGAATAGCCAACACTCCAGAAGACAGGCTTAAGATACAGAAGGATCTTGACAGACTTGAACACGGGGCTATCTAACAAAATGAAATTCAATGGTGAACAAAACAAGGTTCTACATTTAGGCAAGAAAAACCAAATGCACAGGTATAGTATAGGAGGTACCTTGCTCAGTAGTAGTAACTGTGAGAGGGATCTCCGAGTCCTAGTGGACAATCACTTAAATATGAGCCAGCAGTGTGCTGCAGTTGTCAAAAAAGCCAACACAGTGCTAGGCTGCATTAACAGAGGGATAGAATCAAGATCACGTGAAGTGTTAATACCACTTTACAATGCCTTGGTAAGGCCACACTTGGAATACTGCATCCAGTTTTGGTCATCACAATGTAGAAAAGATGTTGAGACTCTAGAAAGTACAGAGAAGAGCAACAAAGATGATTAGGGGACTGGAGGCTAAAACATACAAGGAATGGTTGCTAGAATTGGGTATGTCTAGTTTAATGAAGAGAAGGATGAGGGGGGACATGATAGCAGTGTTCCAATATCTCAGGGGCTGCCACAAAGAAGAGGGAAACAAACTATTCTCCAAAGCACCTGAAGGCAGGACAAGAAGCATTGGATGGAAACTAATCAAGGAGAGAAGCAACCTAGAACTAAGGAGAAACTTCCTGACAATTAGAACAATTAATCAGTGGAACAACCTGCCTGCAGAAGCTGTGAATGCTCCAACACTGGAAGTTTTTAAGAAGAGATTGGACAGCCATTTGTCTGAAATGGTATAGGGTTTCCTGCCTGAGCAGTGGGTTGGACTAGATGACTTCCAAGGTCCCTTCCAACTTTATTATTATTATTATTATCTTTTATTCATTAAACATGAACCTCAGTCAACTGAACATTCAAATTGGCTGGCGCTGATGGTTGACACGGTTGCTACCAGCATCCTAGGTGTCATTATTATTATTATTATTATTATTATTATTATTATTATTATTATTATTATTATTATTATTATTATTATTATTATTATTATTGAATTTTTGGTGATGTTGGGTTTTTCCCCTTTCTTAAAAAAAAAAAATTAAGGTGGGAAAAGAAGCACAGGCCACAGGAAGCAAATTACTCTGAGCCTTCTATTTAACACCATTACCCTCTTCTAAATTGGCCTGAAATTGGCTCAATAAATTTTCTGTGCCCTCTCCTATTCTTCCTTATTGTCAGCCTCAGACAGAAAAAGCAGGTTGAAAAAGTTTAGGATGCTGAATTGTGACTTTTGACCTCTCAGCTGTTGCACGGCCCTAGTTTGCTTGCATTTGACAAGATCATTAAATTAGCTAAGCATTATTTCCATATTTGGTTCCCACCCCAAACATTACTGCGTTATAAACTGAAGAAACAGCTTGGCGCTCTCTTTTATGTATCCTGTTCAGTGAAAAGAGAAATATAGCTGCTGTCTTTTAATTTAGGCTTCTCTTTCAAACCAGCACTTGGCTTTGGGGCCTGAAGAGTAATCACTGTGTTTTATCTTGCTTTGTTACGAATCATAAGGAATTCAAGGTGGAGATGTAACTGTAATTATCACTCACAGGTTGGCTGGGGAATTCTGGGAGTTGAAGTCCACACATCTTAAAATTGTCAAATTTGAAAAATCAATTCAGTCCTCCTTAATAACTGTGTACAGAAATGCTTTTGTTACTATTCTTAAAGGGTCATATATCAAAAGCACAAGTGTAAGTCTTGGGAGAAGAAATTACTGATAGTACTATGAATATGTGATGGATTTTTTTTTTCCTGAAGTAGGTTTTCTCAATATGGTCAGCAACTTCTATGAGCTTTTGTAAAACTAGCTATGGATTGCTAATTTGGAGTGATGAATTCATAGTCCAAAATATCTGAAGAGAATCAGACTGGAGAAGGCTAACATAACAATTAAAATAATATTAAAGGTGTCTAATTTAGCAGAAATGGCAAAAAATTCCGCTTATTTGAAGGATCAATCTCAAGGAAAATATATTTTGGTTTGGAAAAGATGGATTGATTATATTCAGAAAAAATATGAGATTGAAAAGTATTACTTAGCTTATGAGTAAATTTTAGATTATTATTAATAGTTTATTATGGATGAATTTATATTATTTTTAGTAATAATGTTTAATTATATTATTATTAATATATAATAATAAAACGACCATTTCACAATTCTAGATAGATAAAACATCTCAATTTCATACAAACCTACCCTAAACTAACATCATAATCTGGGTAATGTTATTTAATTTATGAT